TATTTCTAACTGACAAGAATTCATCGAAATTAAGTTCTATTATTTAAAATATTGTGTATTAGAAAACCTTGGCAATATTTTAAAACGGTATGAACTTATCATTTATTACATAAGTATCGCTTTATTCTAAACTGTTATTATAACATTTGTCTTTGTTTTGTTTTCCAGATCTAACCCAACTAGGTATTTAATAAAATGAATTACATAGGTAGGTACTGTAATGTTATTTTTTATCCCCTTGTATAATAAATTTAATTTTTTTTCAACATTACATTCAAAATAAAAAAATACTTATATATTTACCTTCGACTAGTCTTTATTTAACTCCTCTTAAGGTGAGTTTTACTTCCAGAGCACAAGATTTTCTTAAACTCAGGTGAGTTCAGGTAAATTTATTTTAAAATTTCTAATATTTTATATATTGTTAATTTTATTATTTTATTTTTATTTAATTTCACTATGTTATTTTATTATTTTATTTTGTTTTTATTTTTATTTTATTTTTTTTATTTTTTTTTTATTTTATTTTTTTTTTAATTTATTTTTAAAGTCACTTCTATGAATGAATTCAAATTGTTGTAAACTGAATGAATTCAAATTGTTGTAAACTGAATAAATTACTCTTTTATGAATTACCAGTACGTATTAAGTAAACAGATTTTTTTAAAAATCAAGATATTTAAGTTTATTTAACAACTTATTGACTTTTGTCAAACTAGAAAACAAATAACATTGAAAAGTTCCTATCAAACTATACAATCTATGTTATATCTATATCAATGAAATTATTTCACCCACTTATCATTCATTCATTCATAACACAAACTAATATAAAAATCGATTTAAATTCGATTTATTTTACCTTCAAGAAATTAGAATTCCTTCCTTTTCATGAATCGATTAGTAATTCCTCATTTCTAATTGACATATGACATATATATTATTTCAAGAAATAATTTGGTTAAAATATATAAAATTCCAAATATGAATTCTACTTTCTTTACGAAATATACTAAAGCAAGGATTCTATCAAATATGTACAAGTTTTGTAAGTATTATTCACAAGTAACACCATTAACTGTTTATTTTGATTATAAAATGTACTCACAAAGTTCTATTTATTTCTTTCAGCTCCTGTAGCACCTCCAAACTTTGAAATCTGTTGAAAATACAGCACCAGTCCAATGTTATATAACTATTCCAAATAACAGCCAATTTTACTTATTGGAAAATTTAATTTGACCTGTTATATATCAATTGTATTCCTTTTTAGATGGAAACTTCTCACAATATTAATCTCCGGTTTCCTTCTTACACCGGACAGCAAGCAAAAAAAACCATCCGTCATCATTTTTTCTGACTTTTCCCACCCAAAAAAAATCATATACCAGAGTCATGTTTCTTATTTTAATGAAATTAGTAAATTTTAATGTTAAAATCTTATTTTGCTAATATTCAATAACGTATCAGTACCTACCTATTATAAAAATTGTTTTCTTAACCCTACTTTCCTAATTATTAAAAGTCATAAATATTTTGTGCACAAAATTTAATTAATTTAAAACAGATACTTTATTCTATTTTTTATTACATATATAAGCGGTACTCATAATAAATTATTGCAACGTTTATTCAAATTATTTGTGTATAAAAATAATGTATGTTTTTAATTTAAAAAATATATGTATTGGTCGACTGAAAAAATCATTTTTGACGGTTTTCTATAAACATCTTAAATTAGAAACATTGATCCATTGAAATATCTCAAAACTAATAAAATAATATAAATCAAAAGCATTTCTATTGACATTTAGTTGATACGCTACTGGATAATAAAACTAACAAACCCCGCTCTTCCCCTCCTAACAACTGGCTTGTATATGTTGCTTTCAAACAAACGCAATGTAAATTTTTGACATTCAGTTATCTATTATTATTTATTTATCTGAGAGTGGAATGGGAAAATGGGGGAAAGAGTGGAAATGGGGAAAAGAAAAAAAATGGGAACATAGGGGTAAGGTGAGGGTGTGAAAAATTGTATGGGGCTATCGATTTTTCAAAGGTAGCAACTTGAAAATTGAAATTGTAGGTACTCATAATAAATAAATAGACATGTTTCAGGGTATTTAGATTTTTACACTTTAAGGAGGGAAACGGGAGGCGAAATTTTGAATGAGACTTTTGGTTTTTTAAAAGTAGTACCTTGAAAATTGTAATTGTAGCCACTCATCAAGTAAATAAAGACGTATTTCAAAATTTTTGGATTTTCACATATTAAGGAAAGGGAAATGGGGTGTTAACTTTCCCTATATCTTTGTTTCATTTTATTGTCAATTTTGATTGTAATTCTTTGATTCATGTATTAACTTTTTTTTATTTTAAAAAAGTACGAACAACTATTTTATTATTAAAAAAAAATTAATTCAATCACTTTATTTTATCTTATTAAAAACCGAATAATTATTTTTACCCCCAAAATCGGTGAATCCCATCATACACCCCGGTTGTTTACTGCCACCATTGGGCCAATAATCCACATGTCCTATTGCTTTGTCAAAGCCTAATCGTCCTGAGCATGTGTGGATAACTTCAACAAATTTTGCGTCAGAGTAATCTAGACGATTTTCCACGTCTTCAAAGCTAAAAAGAGGACGGGCGGGATCCAAACCTAAAAATTAAAAAAAATAATTTTTTTCTAAATTTTGATACTTTGTACAGGTTTCATTGGTAACGGGACTCCCTTTAACCATGGATGGAGACCACCGAGGTGCTTCCAACTAACCCATACTTAATGGGTCTTTCGACCGCCTTTATAGCCGAGATCAATTTGGCCTATTTTATTCCAGACTCATAACTTATTAACCACCCTGTATATGATTTTAACATTTGGCGTACTTATTCACCGTAACTTACCAAATCTAAAAAGGTATAAACAAGAAACGAAATCCAGGTCCATCTTTACAAAAAATTAATAAATTCGTCCATCCTTAAAACAACATCCTGTATGTCTGAATTTAAAATTTTTGTTTTCATATTTGAAAAGAGCACAAAAAACTGAATCCAATAATGTTTATTTTATATTTGCGCAGACGATTTTACTACTGAAATTATAAGTCCAAATTGTTATTTTTGAGCATTTTGGAGGTACAAACTGGAAACGGACAGAGTTTTATTAATTTTATTGCGGTATATTTAAAATTATTTATCTAAAAGCTACAGATATGTCAATTCGTATAATTGTATGCATCTACACCATTTTCAAAAAATAATTTCAGGTCCGGTTTTAGGGCCAAAAATCAGAATTATTTTTTTTTTCAACCGCACCCTCTATAAATTATTCCATGTAAGTTTTAATAAATAGTATGTAGGATAATATTATGGAAAGAGACTAACATATAGTAGAACAAATAATAACATTTATAACTAAAGGAAAAACACATAAATAATAACTAATTAATACATAATAAACAAATCAAAATAACAACTAATAATACAAAGAAATACAAATGTTGGAAATGAAGTAATATACCTTATTGCTACTAAAAACTACAAGAGTTGTTCAAAATGACCTTTATTTTGTTCGATGCATTTTCTTGCTCATTTTAAAATATGGTTGACGGCTTTTCTGAGTACATCGGGATTATTTTTAACTTCTTCGTACGCGTTTTCTATCCTCCCAACTAGTTCTTCCCTATTATTTATGGGAGTGGAATATACTCCCCAAACGTGGTAATCCAGCGGATTAAAGTCAGGCGATCTTGAAGGCCAGTGTATGTAGTATACGAAAGGAGGTATTTAGGACCTAACGTTACATTCGTAAATAATAAATAAGTATAATTATTTTATTATTAGATTATCGTATAGGCCTTGGAATTGGCATTTCACATTTTTATGTCATTTGTATTTCCATCTTCTGTCAGTCATTATTGTTTTTTCAGTATTTTCCGTGATATTTTTTATTGTATTTGGTAATTATTAAAAATACCATATCAATATACTAACGAAGAATACGTAGATATAATTTACATTTATGGTTTTTGTGATGGTAATTCTCGAGCTGCAAAAAGGGAATATGAATTGAGATTTCCTGGTCGAAGATCACCAAATTTCAAAACACTTATTCGTGTTTTTTAATTACATGAGAAGATATGGTAGATTCCCAACAGCTCAATTAAACGAGCATCGTGAAAGACAGAATTTGAATGTGGAACAAAATATTATAAATATGGTTAATAATAATCCAGAACTGAGCACAAGGAGAATTAGTTATGCATTTAATGTACCCCATACCAGCGTATGGCAACGACTAAAAAAATATCGTTTACACCCATATCATATTCAGGAAGTAAAGAGGTTAGAAGCAGGCGATGAAATTCCTAGAATTAATTTTAGTAGGTGGATCCTCTTAAATCGGCAAATTGTACGTAGACGAATATTTACGGATGAGGCCCAGTTTACAAGAGACGGCGTGTTCAATTTACGAAACTCGCACATTTGGTCGACAGAAAATCCATTTGGTGTAAGAGAGACCCATTCACAATACAAATTTTCAGTAAATATTTGGTGCGGCGTTTTTGATAATAAATTAATTGGACCACATATTTTCCATCACAGACTGACGCGAAGTTTATTTAGATTTGCTTCAAAATATGTTGCCTGTTCTATTAGACGATGCAGATGTAGATATAGCCGGTGTATATTTTCAACATGATGGTGCTTCACCGCATTACCGGCTAATTGTGAGAGAATTTTTGAATGAAAATGTTCCTAATACGTGGATAGGCAGTGGTGCTTCCAATCATTGGCCATCAAGATCGCCTGACTTTAATCTGCTGGATCACCACGGTTGGGGACATCTAAAAACAAAAGTATATTCCATTCCCATAAAGAGCAGGGAAGAACTAGTTGGGAGGATAGAAAACGCGTGCGAAGAAATGAAAAATAATCCCGATGTAATCAGAAAAGCCGTCAACCATATTTTAAAACGAGCAAGAAAATGCATCGAACAAAATGGAGGTCATTTTGAACAACTCTTGTAGTTTTTAGTAGCAATAAGGTTTATTACTTCATTTCCAACATTTGTATTTCTTTGTATTATTAGTTGTTATTTTGGTTTGTTTATTATGTATTAATTAGTTATTATTTATGTGTTTTTCCTTTAGTTGTAAATGTTATTATTTGTTCTACTTAATGTTAGTCTCTTTCCATATTATTATCCTACATACTATTTATTAAAACTTACATGGAATAATTTATACAGGGTGCGGTCGAAAAAAAAATAATACTGATTTTTGGCCTTAAAACCGGACCTGAAATTATTTTTTGAAATGGTGTAGATGCATACAATTATAAGTATTGACATATCTGTAGCTTTTAGAAATATACTTCTTTAAATAATTTTAAATATACCGTAATAAAATTAATAAAACTCCGTCCGTTTCCAGTTTGTACCTCCAAAATGCTCAAAAATAACAATTTGGACTTATAATTTCAGTAGTAAAATCGTCTGCGCAAAAATAAAATGTACATTATTGGATTCAGTTTTTTGTGCTCTTTTTAAATATGAAAACAAAAATTTCATATCCAGACATGCAGAATGTTGTTATAAGGATGGACGAATTTATTAATTTTTTGTAAAGACGGATTTCGTTTCTTGTTTATACCTTTTTAGATTTGGTAAGTTACGGTGAATAAGTACGCCAAATGTCAAAAACATATACAGGGTGGTTAATAAGTTATGAGTCTGGAAATAAATAGGCCAAATTGATAAAACACCCTGTATCTCGGCTATAAAGGTCGAAAGACCCATTAGCCATGAGTTATTTGGAAGCACCTCGGTGGTCTTCATCCAATGAAATACCCTGTATAAAGCCTTTTGTTAACAAATATGATATAATTAACGTCATCCGTAAATGAATGTGTGAATGAGTTTCGAAAACCGGAAAACCATAGAACTCACCTACTATATGGCTAAGTCTCCCTCCAAGATAAGCTCCACATAGTCCAGCAACATGGGCACCAAGAGAGTGTCCAACAATGAACGTCTTATCCAAATCTAGTCCATTTTTATACTCCAAACTGTCAATAAATTGACTGACAATTTTTGCAATACCGGGCACTGCACGTTTTGCGAATGGGTATAGCTGTTTAGCGATATTGCTCCAATCGACAATGAAAACGTTGGCATCTTTGATTTTTAGAATGGCATCAGATATTTCTACGGAAACCGGGGAGTCGTATGCGTTATTCAATCCATGGATAATAAAGACGGTATCCTGTAAAGTTATAAAATGCTAGTCTTAGAATATTTTAAATATAGATAGAAGTAGAATTAATGCAGCAGAGAAATATTGGAAACTTTAACCCGAGAATACCATTCAAGGAGAAGCGATAGTAGCTGTCGGTGCCTTTGATATCGGATGGACCTTTTTCACAACATGACTTTGATTAATACACAACTTAATACGCTGAGAAAACATGCTAATTTTCTAAACTGAGCGAAATAGTTTGGCAAATTATCTGAAATCATTGTTATAGTCCATGCGCAAATGTTGTAATGTGATTTAATTACATTGAAGTAATTAGGGTTAATAGCAATGGTGAAATTTCGGCACCAAAATACAGGGTGTCTGTAAAAGGTCTTTACAAAAACATACCACATATTTCTTGGAACAAAATAAGTCGATTTAAGTAAAATTACCTTAGTACAAAGTTGCTTCGTTTGGGCTCCAGAGGGCCTTGAAGTTACAATTTTTAAATCGTTTTTCCCATATAAATTTAAAACGACATATGCGATTTTGCTGAAATTTGGTATATTGGTAGAGTTTTATGTGGCAAAAATAGTATTACAATTTTGACCGATAATATTACATAGGCGTAGAACTTGATTTTTTAAATAATTGCACCTTTAAAAATTCTACGCCAATAGAAGAAAAGGAGTTTGAGTATGAAATTTAGATTACGCAACTCATTTACTTTAAAAAAGGTACTTTTGATAAGACTCGATTACTCTTATGGTTTTGACGAAATTTACATTTTAGTAATTTTAGAACATAAACAATAATTATTAAAATACAAACTTTGTCAAAACCATGAGAGTAAATCGAGTGTTATCAAGGGTATTTTTTTGTAGTAAATGAGTACCCAATCCAAATTTCATACTCAAACCCCTTTTCTACCATTGGCGTAGAATTTTTAAAGGTGCAATTATTTAAAAAATCAAGTTCTACGCCTATGTATTATTATCGGACAAAATTTTATACGATGAAAAACATAAAAATGTACTTTTTTCATATCTTCTTCAACACCTCTAATCGAGACTTTTAACAAAAATACTCGATTCTTGCCATGTACGATTTTTTTAAGGAATATTAATTATTTGCCTGCAATACGTATACAAAAACATTTATTGTTGGTTTCCATAGTTTTATCCAAATAAAAATATTGTCAAGTTTTAACACCTAATCTCTTGTTAACGATTGAAAGTGTTCTATCTGGTTCAATAATTAAAAAAACAAATGCGTGGTTTATTAATATAGCTGTACAATATACCAATGCAGAATATACCGATATGTTACTGACATTAGAATTTTGTGAAGGAAATGCTCGAGAGAGTGTACTCTGAAAGGTTTCCAAATTGTATACCTACAGTACCTAGCCACTCAACTTTTGCTGCTGTTGAGAGACGTCTTCAGAAGACCGGTTCCTTTGCTCCCAACACTGTTGATAATGGGAGAGAACGTTTTGTAAGGATTCCTGTAGTTAAAAAAGACATTTTAGAACGTGTTAAAGAAGATCCAGAATTAAAAGGGAACTAGGAGTAAGTAAAGATGTCGTTCACAAAGTGCTTGGATAACAATTGCTACATCCATACCATAAGAAGCCAGTACAAGAATTATTAGTCCATGATCCTCAAATTCGTTTGGGTTTTCGTCGATTTGTTAATATGCAAAAAAGGTTATCTTTACCGATGAAGCGGGTTTTACAAGAAGAGGTATAACTAATACCCATAATGAACATGTTTATGCCGTTGAAAATCCGCATGCAATAAAGGTAAACCATTTTCAGCACGAATTCAAAATTAATGTGTGGGCTGGAATAATTGGTAATTTTACTGTTGGTTCTGTCATACTTCCACGAAGATTAACTGGAGAAAATTATTTGGATTTTCTACAAAATACGTTGTTAGAATTGTTAGAAGATTTACCACTTTAACTTCGGAGAGATATGTGGTTTATGCAAGATGGAGCTCTACCACATTTTTCTTTAAAAGGAATAGTTCCTCAAAGTTACACCAAAATCTAAAATGGATCGGCAACAATTTTTTTTATTTTCAGACGATTTTGTATGGAATGACTCATACCGGTCCCAAATTGCAAAGAGATTTGTTTACGCTTCTTTTAAATTTTAGATTGCATAAATTTGTTTTTACTTGTAACATTCGTCAAATGTATCGGATGATACAGGTTCATCCTGAAGATAGAAAGTATCAGAGATTATTTGGCGATTTTCTCCTGAGGAACCTATTTTAGATTATCAGTTAAATGTTGTTACATTCGGAGTAGTTTCATCTCCATATCTAGCTATTCGAACATTACTACAACTTGCTAATGACTATGTAAATTTTCCTTTAGCTTCATTAATCTTACAAAATGACACTTATGTCGATGATATTGTTACTGGTGCAAATTCTTTTAAAAACTTGACGTTAAAAAGGGATCAACTTGTTGCTTTACGAAGTAAGGGTAATTTTGAAGCTCGGAAGTGGGCTAGTAATTGTTCTCAACTTTTAAATGTGTTTCCACAAGACTTTATTCAAAGTGGAGCTATTTCATTAGATTTGGAAAATACCGTTTCCCTTAATATTTTAGGCTTAAGGTGGAATCCTAGTATAGATTCATTTTCGTATTCTTTTAAATGCAACTCTGCTAATTGTACAAAAAGAATTTTACTTTCCGAAATATCAAAAATTTTTGATCCTCTTGGATACCTTACACCTTTAATTTTATTTGTTAAAATATTAATTTAAAATCTATGGATTTTAGGGCTCGATTGAGATGAAGTCCTTTCCATAGAGATTGTTTTAAAATGGGAAAGTTTCAAAAATGAATTACATTTATTGTCACAATTTAAAATTTTACGTTGGATAGACATTTCGGAAAAATGTGCATATGATCTTGTCGGATATTGTGATAGTTCAGAAAAGGGTTATTGCGCAGTTATTTATTTACGTATAATTAATGATGCTGGCATCAAAATTAGCTTGGTGTGTGCAAAATCTAAAGTGGCCCCTTTAAAGGTGCTTTTATTGCCTAAGCTTGAACTATGTGCCGCAGTTTTACTTGCTTCGGTCAGTAAAATTTTATTACAAAAAATATGTATCAATAATACTTATGCATTTTCTGACAGTACTATCGTCTTGAGTTGGATTAAAACTTCGCCACATATGTTAAAAACTTTAGTTAGCATTCGGGTAGCTTATATTCAAGAAAGAATCACACCTATTAATTGGTTTCGTATTGCTACAGGGGACAACCCCGCTGATTGTGGTTCACGCGGAATGCTTCCGTCAAAACTTTTACTCCACAATTTATGGAATCTTAAAACTATTTTAGATAAGAACTTACCTGAAGTTCTTGCTGAAAAACGTAATATTGTTTTAACGGCTACTTTGAATACATTTAGTATCTTTGATAATCTCTTAGAAAAATTTAGTTCTTTGACAAAAATTTTAAGAATTGTTGTTTACGTCGTACTTTTTATAAACAATATGAAATTCAAGGATAAAATTACTGAGCCTTTAAACAATGATGAAATTTCCAAGGCTACTTTAATTGTTGTGAGACACCTTTAAAATTAATTTTTTCATAATGAAATATTATTAATAAAAAATAATGATATTTACAAAATATCCTTTACTTTTGCCTAGTTCGTCTAGACTTACCGAATTGCTTATTTACGACATACATGTTAAAAATCTACATTGTGGTATAAATACTAAATACTACTTATTACTTAATTATATAGATTTACTGGATACTTTCTGCAAAAAGAATTATCCGCAAAATACTACATAAATGCATTTCCTGTTGGAAAACTAAACCTACTACATTTCAAATCCCATTTATGGCAAATCTTCCCAAATTTCGTGTTTCCCAATTAAAGCCATTTTCTAATGTTGCTTGTAATTTTTGCGGTCCTTTTACCACAGAGGCTAGTAGATTACGAAATGCTAAACCCTTAAAATCATACGTTTGTCTTTTCCTATGTTGTGCAACTAAAGCCGTCCACCTCGAATTGGTATCTGATTTATCAACAGACGCCTTTTTAGCTGCCTTTCGGCGTTTTATAGCTAGGCGAGGTAGATGTGAAATCATATACTCTGACTGTGGAACTAATTTTGTGGGAGCTAATAACTATTTTAAGGAATTATTTTTATACGTTTCAGAAAAGGAAGCGTTACGGTTTTTATTTATTATTCCTGCCGCTTGTCACATGGGAGGCTTTTGGGAAACTAATATTAAATGCGTTAAAACACATCTTTATAGAGTAATAATTGGTTTACAAATTTTAACATTTGAGGAGTTTACTACTGTACTTACCCAAGTAGAAGCTGTACTTAATTCTCGACCATTGTGTCCTTTAAGTACAGATCCTACGGATCTTAATGTGCTGACTCCAAGACACTTTTTAACCCTGGAACCACTTACGTGTTTGCCTGATCCTTATTTTTCTCAAGTTAAAGAGAACCGGTTGAATAGATGGCAAGTTTTGCAAAAATGCACTCTGATTTTTGGCAAAGATGGAAAACCGAATACCTACATACTTTACAGCAGCGGCACAAATGGACAGATAAAACTGTTCCAGTACAGTTAGGAACTCTTGTGATTATTAAAAACGAAAAAGAACCACCATTACAATGGACTTTAGGTCGTATTGTTGAACTTATTACTAGTCCTGATAGATGTAATAATTGGCATTATTATTAATTGAAAAAATCTAAAGAATTTACCAAAAATTCTAAACAAGTATTTAATGTTTAAATTAAATAATTAAAAAGACACAATGAAACAAACCTTCAATTTATTAATCTACATTGAACATGACATTATTATTCTCGGATTAAACAATCCACACATAATTATTCTAGTTACAATTTATGGAATTTAATACTCTTAGTAAATTACAATTTAAAAATAAATAAAGAATATTTTTTCTAGTTCATTAATAATAAATTATTTCGAGATAATAAAAACATATTTTTCCGCCTACCTCTATCCAAAGTATACATTTCCTGACCTCATTGCAGGGAGCAAAGTCATACTTTTCCTCGCTAACCTTAGCCAAAAGGGTTACCAGGTTTAGCAGCCCAAGGACCAAACCAGATCGGGAAGGGACCATTCCAGGAAGGTCAAGGATCAGGGGATGATGAGAGGTGACAGCCAGGGAGCAAAGGGTAGTTACGGCCAGCCAATTAAGAAGACCAAAGAAGATACAACTTGTGCAGTGAAGCAAGCGTGAGGTTATCATATTATTGTAGATTGTTTTAAAAATTTTTGTAAATTATTTACATTAAGGGTTTTAAAAAGAATTGAACAAGTAGTTTTTTCTCTCAGGGGAATAATGTAATAATTGGCATTATTATTAATTGAAAAAATCTAAAGAATTTACCAAAAATTCTAAACAAGTATTTAATGTTTAAATTAAATAATTAAAAAGACACAATGAAACAAACCTTCAATTTATTAATCTACATTGAACGTGACATTGTTAAATACAATCAACAGTCACATAAATTTTGGTTTATATAGAAAGGATTACTTGGGTAAACGCTCAGTCGGATTCGGACTAACGTCCAGAACTTTCGCCCCTTGGGTGCCCCTTGGGTGAAAGTTCTCGTTTTGTATTGTAAAGTAATGTGTAAAGTTTTTTTGTGAACGCTGTGAATTATGGGTAAATATTTTAACTTAATTTTGTTTAATAATAATTGATTAATTGATTTACATATAAACGCCAATTTTACATTTTCGTCCCGAATTATATTTTATGCATATCTTTATTACTATTAGTTATAGTACATTATTCCCTAAATGGAATTTTATTCATTTTTTCTGAAGACTATTTGTCAAGTTTTATATTTATTGTTTATATACATTTGTTAATATTTTAATACTTACTATTAATCTCTCCTACCTTTCCAAACCAGCAAAATACTTTGAGCATTTGAGAAGCCTCGGCGTTTCTATTTCCTTAGGACTAAAAGAGTCTAAAACTAGTTGCCAAGAACCGCTCGACATATTCTATTAAGGGATGTTATTTTGTATTTTATTATTTTTTCTTTATTATTTTCTTTTGATACTGGCGAATGGATGTTCCTTTAGGACTCCAGGATCCTAGAGCTGGTGACAGGTGCTGCCTTTATCCCTTAATAGTATAATGACAACAGTATATAAAGACCTATCAGTAGTTACAAATGGTCTTTAGGCTTGCTGGTTGTTACATAGAATCGTTCGTAGTGTTTGTGTTCAAACATCAAAGGGACGTCTTAAACGCTCTTTATCAAAATTATTTCCATTACAAATTAATTAATTAATTTTACAATTCCTTAATACTAAATCAATATTTTATTTATTTTACTAATCATTATTGGGTGTTATTATTTTTTTTTTTGTGTGTGTCATCGGCTTCAACTACCAGGGTTATTTCGCCTCGTGTTATGTGTAGGCTTTGTAACTGTTTCTTAGCGCCACTTTAGAAACAGCACTGTTAATAAGAACCCAACAGTGAATGGTCGAGTGGAGAATCCTACCAAGGCATCAGAATTAATTTTAAATAATTAAATTAAATGAAAAAATCCCGGCCAACGGTGGGATTCGAACCTGGGACCTTTGGATCCACAGGCAGAGACTCTACCACTGAGTCACTCATCCCTTTGTTATTATTATTATTAATTATATATATATATATATTTTTTGTTTAACTAATCTAAATGTATTACACATTCACAATTATCTTTTATTGTTTTCTTTAATGAGTTACTTTGCTTTTCAGATAATGTCTTAAACATTCTCAGGGAGGCGGGAATGGATCGGTACGATCCTATATAATATTTATTTATTTTTATTCTTTATTTTAATTGTATCCAAATAGGTTATTCGTGTCAAAATTGTTTTCACTTTATTCTTTATAAGTATATATTTGATGAACTTATTCCTAAACCTTATGACCCGCCTCTGGTTTTGCTTTTTCCGTTTTTATTATTTTTTTTTCCAAAATCGTGCCCTCGAATATTTGATTATAATAGCCGTAGCACAGTACGAGTACGACAATCGGTACCACATCGAATACAAATTATCACCAATTGTGTTGGTTGTACGAGAGATTTTTGCTATTGTCCAAATAATCCGAACTATACCTTGGTAAGTCAATGAAATATTAATTTAATAATAAGATTTAAATACAATAACAAAAAACAATTAATTAAACGCCACATGAATCAATTTCTCCTAACATAAAAGCAGTCCACTCAATTTTTTACTTGGTAACAAACCAATCATGTATGACAAGTGGTTACTGATTTGTGTTGTTGTGTTAGGTGTCGTATAGGAAAATGATAGGGGGTTGTATATTTTGTCATTTAAGTTCCCTCTTCGTAACCTAGATGTAGTCATTATAAAGTTTTATATTTGTCCCCAATATTATTATGAATAAATACCTTTTTATTTGAAAACCCATCACTTTTTACTTCTTCTGGGTTATTAAGATTTACTGGGAAAAGATAACTTGCAGTTTTGAAATATATTTTAACATCTGTCTCACTAACATTGTAGCCTGTCAAACGTGTTGTTACAAATTCGGGTGCCCACTCACCTGGAACAACCTCCTTATATAGAACCACTGAAATACATTAAAAAAAATAATTATAAATAAATTACTTCTAAACTTTCATTTTATATTAATCCAAGCGTTTCTAATCAAATAAGACTAGTTCATTACCTACAGGGGACTTATTTTCAAACTAAAAGTGTAGGGACAAGGGAAACGATTTTTTAAAGTTCACGTTTGTGGCTAATTAACTACGAATTTTAAACAAATAACTGTTTTTAGCGCAAAATACATGTCTTAGCTGCGAAGTTATACCTTTCAATATGATTTTTTTTTTAGAAAAAAATATTTTTATTTTACTATTGAGACAAATATGTCCCAAAGATATAAAGTGTTTTAAATTAATTTTAACAGCTTTAAAACCCAATAAATAAAACGTTTTTTATTATTTTCACTCTTTATTCAAATAAAATACAAAAATATTGTCAGTGGGACACATATGTCCCAATGGTATATTAAACTGGGACCAATACGTCCCTTTAGGAATAAAAACAAGTATTAGAAATTAAAAATTAAAAAAAACCGACTTTAAAAACGTGCAGATGCCATCACCACATCTTAACCAAATTAATATGGGACCACCACTGATATATTCCCTACCTAACAAAAAAAGAATCATATAAATCGGACAAAGTGGTAAAGTATTATCGCTAAACATACATAAAAAATTAAGAGTTTGATGATTTTCTCATGGACCCAATTATTAGACTTTGACCAAATTTATATGGAACCACCCCTGAAGTACCTCCTTTTTATCATTGAAATCAAGCACCGTGTTAAAGAATTATCGCTGAACATACATAAAAAAATATATATATTGCGACGAATTGAGAACCTCCTCCTTTTTTGAAGTTGGTTAATGGATGTGCAACTTAAATAGAACCTTCAGAAAAAAAATAACATAACAACATTATTTAAGTGTGAAATGCCTGGAAACAGTCATTGTATATTGGAAGATTACATCCTGAACACATAGTTTTCGTTCTTTTTTCAACTTTTCGTGATGTACATGAATGGCAACTGCATCTAGTTTTTCCTTGATAAGGCAAATGATCTCCTACATTCAGCAGATTTCTTGAGGAAGTTAAAGGTCTACCTATACAACGTTTTCTAACTAGCCCTGCCTTTTGACATCCTGTATTTATTAGGCCCTCAGCCAGATTAACCAAAACGCAACAAATGGAACGTCACGTTTGTGAGATTCTTTGAATAATATCCAAGCGTTTGTGGCGGACCTTAACAAAAGCTTGTAAAATGTTTTTCTCCACCATTTTTGAGATTTTCGATCGATATCATATAACCCAGATAGTTGATCTAAAAGATCCACGCCACCCATAAACTTATTGTATGCCTTTATTGCTTCAGGACAGGGAATGTCAGTCCTAAAGTCTGTTTAGATTGCATTTACGCCGCGTCAAAACAATCCCTTTCACCGGCAACCAGCTCAGGTAACATTTTCTTGCGCTCCTATTGGCTAATCGGTCGTTTTTAGATAACGCGCAAATATTTTTGTCAGAGTCGAATTCAGTTCAATTTGGTTTTCGTTGCGATTACACTGCCTCAGTACAGATCCTACTTCATCGTTGTGACAGAAACGACAATAACTTCTTTATAATATTTCCACAGATGTGCAATAAGACCTTGGTTGCTGAATAATGTTTGGCATTCACCTTTATTCATTTTCCTTTTTTTTTATTTTGGCATGTTTTTTTTGTTTGACATACACGTGCCGACAGCAGCAAATTTGTTATCAGAGAAACCTCCTAGCAATTACTACTACAGGGAGTCTTCCCCCCTCCCCGCGCTAAATTTTGTTAGCAACATCTACTCCCCCCGAGAGGGAAAATACTTCTTCTGTAATTGGCTTATTTAATCAGCGTTGCCAAGTTTGACAGCGCCAGTTCTGACGGGGTTCTGATACTTTCTGACACATATCAATTTCTTATTTGTATTTTACGGAAAATATTATTATTTATAACGTTGTAAGGGTTGTAAATGTATATTTAAGATTTATTATCTCTAATAATAATGTGAAAACATGCTTTATGTGTAAAAGGCCTGTTGAAAATGCTTCTTCAAGGTAATATCATAAGTACAGACATAACCTAATTATCAGAGGCGGTGCATTAGGCAATCACCTTTAATTTGCAATTAAACTTTCTTATTTCCTTATCTAAAAATTAAAATTAAGAGCAAGTAAACTCCAGCTAAGTTCGTCTTCATCCGTCTCATAATGATTATAGTAAAGGTTAATTACTAATTATTATTTTAATATCTTGTAAAGTTTTTTATTTTTTTTTTGTTTCCTTTTTTTGATATGAGAAAGAAATACATGGTTCCAAAATATAGGAATTCAACAAATGACCACCTGAATAACTTTTTATGCTAATGCACATTTTTATTACAGACCTCAGGGGAGGAAAATATTAAAGAAAATGCAATTTCGACGAAAGAAGTATATTAATCAATCCTGTCACTACTTCTACACTATATGTATCTGCTACTAAAATACTAAAACAGCAAGTAAGTAGAGAAACTTAAGTTTCTTTCAAAAAGAATGTTTAAGGAAAAAGGCATAACCATTTTTTTCTTGACACTTTTTTTTAACTAATCTAAAAGACTAATTTTTTGTATTGTTTAAATTTTCATTTTTTGTACTCGTATAGAAATTGAAAGCCAATACTTCAGCGAATAAGTTAATGTATAAATTTCAGAAATATTTAGTAAAACCCTGCACTAGCCTTGCCTAAACAAAAAGTGGATTACTGTGGGACAGTTTACCCTATATATTTAGTTTATCCTTTAAACATTTACACAGGTGATACAATAGGTTGTACAAAATAACCGAAAAAAGTCTGTAATAACTAAATAGAAAAGTCATGTGTTTGACACAACAGATTTTTTTGTTTTTTTTTTTTTTGTTATTGTCAGTTATTTTACTTGGCAGCAAAAATTCACAGCTATTTCTTCGAGGGCCCGAAGAGGCTATGAACGAGAGCAGAGAGTATGATATGCAGATAGAGGTGAAATTTTTTTATAAAGGTCTGGTTTGCTCTTAATAAAACGTTTTTATAATATGTAATGCGTGTCAGAGACAAATCTAAAATCAACCATAATAGTGATAAATAGTTAATGTTACCTGTGTCAATTGATTCTTTTTCATGTTCATCAATATTTTTAAACCATGCAACTGCAAAGCAAAAGGTGAATACCAGTAAAATCTTTACTAAACACATTTTTTACCACAGCAGATATTTAATATAATAAATAAATATGATTAATACTTGACTTATCGATAATTAACTATCTGCAGTGTATTGTCATTACTTAAATACTTTCATACTTCAAATTCTCGTGCTTTCAATATAAACTTTTAATTACTTCTACAATATCTTTTATTTTTTATTCGTGTGTAATTCACCTTTTAAAACAATAAAATACACATATAATGAAAAACAGAATACTTGGTCATAAATATAACGTGATCCACAAATAATGTTCTTAAAGTGGCCTTGAAAAAATTTACCCAAATACTTTTTTCTTTTTTCTAGTTTGGATTTAATTCAGGGCCTTGTGTAGTTTTCACAGACATTATAACGGGAATATTTACTATTACTCAAAGATCGGTGTTAGTTGGTAACCTCCTTAGGTAACCTCCTAAATTTTGTATATTATTTAGAAAACCGTTACAAAAAAAAAGGTTATAGTGTTCTCCTAGAGCATAGAGAAGAAGACCACTTCGGCTAGCTGTCGGGACAAAAGGTGTGGGTCATTAAATAGTTAGTAATACTGATTATCTTTAAAGTTTAAGTAAATAAAACGCAAGAGTCGGTATTATGGCATTTACTATTTTTGAAAAATACGTGTTATTATAAAATTTCACTATTGAATTGTCTAAAAGGTAGATAGGTATACATTTACCTAGAGCACTTTTAAAACTAACCTACCTAAATCAGAGACTCCCAACAATAGGATCTCTATGGTTTTACTATCGATATGATACAAAATGACAAGGAAAATACTTAAGGCTGTTTCACCGGTTTTCGTTTTGGCAAAGTTGAGAGAGCCCTCATCCATTTCATAAAGTAAGTCTACACGTAGGCACTTTCTTTATTTCTGAACAACAATTACGTGTAATAACTTCTCTCTTGTTTCCTCCCGCAGTCAAATTGAACGTCTCTCTCTATCGGCATTTACTACACCGGAGACGCGGACTGGCCGAATTGGTCTGTGTATTGCATATATTTGCAGAATATAATAATTTGTTACTTTCCCTAATATTTGCATTACACGACTTGGCAACAAAACTGCCTTCGCCCAGCTCAACGATCACGGCGCTAGCCGTGTCTTGCCAGTCCAAAGGGAAGCAGCATTGCCGGATTGTAATATTTATCGGTGGTTCTGTCGGTTCCGTAATTCGCGAACTTAAATCACAAATAAAATTATTTTTGAGAAACAGTAAAAAGTATTTAAATAATAATTTTGTTGAATTTAGAAAAATAAAATGACTTTCTTTGTTATTCAATACATATGGAAATCAATAAAGTACACAAGACTGTTGATGTGAATGTATGCTATGTAGATAATAAAATGCGCTGTTTACGAATTGAGGCAAGGACTTGTGTAAATTATTTAGCAGATTTTTTTATAGTATTAAATGAATCTTACAGTTGGTATTTATTTTTTAAATTAATGATATAGAGGGTAATTAACTTGGAAATGCCATAGGTTAGAGTAGATAGCGGACACTAAGTTGGTTTTAAAAAACCTATAATTTCTTAAGAGCCACAATAAAGTGATCAGTATATCATGCAAAATTGTCAGTATATTATTCATAATACCTGGTTGGATGAACAAATTTTTTTTTTCTGAATTTTGCTCAGTATTAATTTTGCTGATCATTTATTAATTTCCCCCTTCATTTTATCACAATACTGACTGTTTACTGGCTATAAAATAAAACAAAAATATTTAATTTGTACAATTTATTTAATCGGCCTTCGATTTTTTTATAAATAAAAAAACAGAAAAGTAATTAGGAAGAATTTTTTAAAATTGCTTCTAAAATATATTTATGATAAAAATCCTTTAATTTTGGTTTGATCGCTTCCCAAAATTTATCATCCCGTGGAATTTTTTCTGTGAGCATTCCTAATGGAGTCCATACATTAAAAAAACAGTACTGTGCTCCCGTTATTGCCAGTTGTCCTTGAACCTGATAAAAATAATTATGGTTTCTCTTTAAACTGTATGTACCATTTTTTTCTTCCAAATATTTAATCTTTCCTTCTGCAACTCCCATTTCGGGTGTCATTGTGGCACATGAGAAAGGACATTTTATTTCGATTATTTCTGACGTGTTTATTACTCCATCCGGACTTGCCCCCAGAAAAGGAAGTTTATCGTAGATATATAAACCACAATCTTTAACCTCTTTCTGAAAATGTTTTTCAAATGCTTCTTTGGCATGGCTTTCATGTTCTTTGCCCCAATTAGTTGCTTTGGAATTTGTGAATGAAGAAAACAAAATGTTATGAACAGTTTTTTTCGGGTCCGTGGTTTTCTTTAATTTGCATATTGTGCCGAAATTTGAAGCAGTAAGCATATTACTTCTATATTCTCTCCAACAGGTGTTCCTGGCTTGCCCTCTTGTTTTAATTTCAATTTCTAGTATTTCGGCTCTTGAATTTGGTAAACTGTCCAAAAACTTTTGTTTTCTATCTTCTAAATCTAGAATATCATTATCCGGCATTCCATACTCCTTATCGGCAGGTGCGGTTGTTTTCTTTTTTTTTATCTGGGGTCCTCTGAGAGATCTTTTGCTTCTCTTATTCTTTAACTTGGCGATGAACGACTGTGAGTGTATTCCAAGTTCTTGAATGCTTGTGGTTTGATGTAAAGTGGCAATGTAATTTTCTCTTTTGTTATACGATACGGCTGCTGCTTTGCATCTTACACCATAGCCTCCTTTAATAGCAAAATTTATCCTCTTTCCCCCAACAAATTTAGCCACTACCGAATTATAAGTTTCTGCTGCATTATTATTCATATTTAGTATCAAACTTTGAGTATTTTGGAGCAATCTATTGGCAGCAGAAACTATATCCTCCATTAATCCAGAGCTTTCCATCTCTGTTACATAATCCTTATCTGCTTTTTCCTTTTTACAAAAATAATCTGCACATTTATTATGTCTTCCAAAAACATGGTATGGACAATTTTTGATGTCAGCCGATAACTGTTGAACCTGCTGATTAAAATTAATAGTATTTTTTCGGTGGTACAAGATTGCTGATTTTACGGCAATCCGTAATTGTAATATCCTCGATGATAAAATTTTCCTCAATTCGGGCTTTACATACATATCCTTAGTACTTTTTTTTTTACTGGCAAGTTCTCGCAAATGCGTACAGTAATTTCGCAGAAGGTGATTGGTACACTCAACTTTTGTAACAGCCATTGGTCCATATGGTCTTGTTTCACAAATTTTTTTGTATACGCTGCTAACTCCATCGCCGATAAGACGTATGTACTTTAACTTATGCATCACAACACTGTTTTTAAAGCCCTGTAAAATAATTGCGGACTCCATGGCAGTAGACGAGCCACTCCAGTTTTTTGAGCAATTGTGTTGATAAGGTTCTTCATTTTTTGAAGATGCTCGAGTGCAAATGGTACAGTATTTGTCCTTGGAAGCAACGTACAGAATTTTGCCTGTCTTAGCACCAATTATGCAAGCCTGAAAATATTTATATTCATTTTTAAAAAGTTAGGAAACAATGTACTTGAAGAACGGAACGTGTAAAATAAAACAAATTATTAACGTATTTTTTAAACCAATAATACGCTTCGGAAGTATATTAAAAACAATGAGGTTAAAATTAATTCCAATAATAAATCGGAAGTACTTACATAAATTAAATTGTGGTAAAATTGTATATTGGTCAAAAAACTATTCAGAATATATTACAATAGTTATATTAAAAATAAAGGCATTAAATTAAACTGTTTAGAAACGCTTGAAATTAATAGAATTAAAAATTCAAATAACCTCTTAAGTGATCAATTAGATATTATTAACTAACCTTTATTAAATCTCTTTACCTGTTCTTAGTTTTCTGTGACATAATCCTGGTAATGATAATACCTTCTTAGAATTTTATTAATATATTTTCTTGAGTAGGTACTTTAACTAATTAGTTTATTTTGTATATATATTAAAAATGTAAATTAGTCACATTTGAAGAATAAGTTGTGCTTCGAAACAATTGTCGCGCAATTTTTAATTTTAATTTTTTAAATAAAAAAGTGAAAATCTACCATGTTTGGTTTTTGTCATTTTAATAATATGGATTTTCATCAAGTAAAGGCCAAAACTATCAATAATTTAAAATGAAATAGCATTAAATACTTACCACTCCTGATAAAGCATTGTAGTTAACTTTATATGAACGTTTCGACCACACTCCATCAACAATAACTGTAATCAGTCCATTGCCTTCTCTATCCACTTCACCAATATCTCGAGCTAATTGCAGTTCTTCTTTTCCAGCCTCTTGCATCGCTTCCCTAGCTGCCTTATACACATTATGGGAAATGCTTTCATTATGATCAGCATACTGGCGATATGACATTTGAGGAATGTTCATAATTGCCTGCTGTTCAACCATTTGCGAATGTCCACATCCTGTTGAAAGTGTCGCCAAGACCGCGGCGGAGTTCACATTCATTTCTGTACTTTCAGATTCTGTTGAAAGTTTTTTACTCCATCCACACATCCTACACTTCCATTGGAAAGTACTTATTAATCCTTTTCTGGTTTCGTTAATTATGTCCATGTCCTTAAAACTACAACCAAAAGGAGAGTGATTGTCAAAAGAACATAGTTCCTTAAAGAAGTAAGACATGTCAACAATCCTTCTACCAATATTATGCATGTCAAATAATGGAGTCTTATCTTCAATTTTTTTTTCCATTTCCACTTCTAATTCTGAACCATATTCATGCTCGGGTTGATCTTTGATTCTGAAACAAATTAGTTTCCGTTATTGACCTCTTTCATTAAATAAAAAATGGGTAAATAAAAAATTAACTTGTCAATTATACTTACGGATTATTTGCAATACTTTGTAGAATAGATCGTCTAGAAGTACATGTTTTCGACAATTTAAACTTATTAGGTAGGTTCCTGCAAATAAAAAATAAATATTATTTTTATATCTACAATAAATTAAAAATTAATATAATTTTATATTATGAATATTCCGAAACTAAATGTTATTTCTTTAGTAAAAACATAATTATATGAAA